ACAGAAGATTATTCTGATTCAGAGTGCTCAGATATTGTCATTTCATCAGACGATGAATCTTAGACTATGATATTTTTAGTTTTGTGTCCTGGTCAATTGGTCGTTTTATTTTCAATTTTACAAATTCGTTTACATTAACCTCACAAACCTTACAAAAATCCTCGGTCAAATCCTCGGTAAAATCGTCAAATTTCGCCGAGGCCGAGGAATTTCGAATCTATTTTTGACCGAGGCCGAGGCGAACCGAGGAATTGTCCTCCTGACCGAGGCCGAGGCCGAGGCCGAGGAAAAATCGCCATTCCTCGGTAAAACCGAGGCCGAGGCCGAGGACTCGGTCGACCCTTGCCCGCGCCCCTCCTTCCACCATTACCGTCCACGGCAAAAACTCGGAAGACCAAGACCTAGATACCCAACATACTCAGCACCCACCACCAGCCGATTAACCCCGGGGATTTTGTCTGCGGAGGCTGTGGCCTGGTGAATTTTAGACGCAACTTGCGATGCCTCGACTGTGGTGTGCCCAATCCCAGTCGCCTTTCTAAAAGAAATTGTCATACACAAACTTCGCCTGCCTCGAGCTCCAGAACCACATCTAGCAACGACACCTCCTCCAACACGAGCAGCGACACTAACGACACCTCCTCCAGTAGCAGCTCATCATCCTCATTTATGGATTGTAATTAATTCATTGATTTTTCAAAACGGAATTTAAATATTCAAATGTACTAGGTAGAAGATGGAAAGTAAAGGGACTACAATAAAATGGGGAATAATAATATGGGGAATTGCAATACACATGCGTAAATGCCAAGGGATAGTACAAATATGTCAAAACGAGAGATTAGCAACCATTTACAAATTACCAGAATTATTAAAATGCGAAGAAAATGTGTATGAAAATTGGGAAATAACCTTGTATAAAAAGAACTTAAAAGAATACAAAACTACTGTAAAAGGGTTGAAAATAATCGAAAGGTCGTGTATAACGGGAAATTCTTTTTGGGGAGTGAAGACACAAATTAAAGAACAAAAAACGATAACCATTTCAGGGGATTTAGCTAACGAGTTAATAAGTCAAAATTCTTGCATAAACGCAAATGGGGAAAAAAGGCTGAATGAAATGGTACAGGGATTTGAATGTAACTTTAAATGGATGAAGAAAGTGGAAACAAAGACCTGGTCCTGCTATTTTGAAGAAGGACTAATTATTGCAACTCATGGGGGCTACTTAAGTTGTACAATCGCGGGAATACAGGGTTGTTCATATGATGAGGGATTTTGCGAAGCACAAAATAGGAAATATCTAAAATGGGATAAAAATAGGGAAAGCGAGCTGGAATATCTTAAAGTAGGAGATTTTAATGGTACTAAAGTGGGGAACCATATCATAATACCAGCCTTAGGGATGACTTTCAAAAAGGATTCAGAAAATAATACCTGGATGGATAGAAATTTCAAATTAGAGGGGAGAAAATTAGTAGAAAAACAAGTACAATTGGAAAAGTCGGTAAATTTGACGAGCAATTCAGAAGATACTTCCATGAAACTGGAAGCGCTACGGGAAGAACTACAAAATAAGTTTGCATATTTAGTAGATCTAATACAATCACCTAAAGCTAAAGTTCAATATTTGTGTGATGTGTACAACGCACTATATCAAAACGAGCGGGTTTTAGCGGCAGTGGATCCTACGTTATACATTCGTGGGAAGCTGAATGATACCTCCTTATACGCTACACACGCAGGGGAATATATTATTGTTTATCCGTGTTACAAAGTACCCAACGTAACTTTCATCACGGAAAAAGACACGTGTCATAACGGAATACCAGTTGATTATAAACTACCCGGGAGAGAAAAGGAGAAGGGATACGTTAATCCATTGTATAACAACATCGTACCAAGGGAGATCGAAATCGATTGTCATCGTAAAGGGAATTTATTTAGTTTTATTGGGAATAAACTTAGAGGCCACTCACCACATGGTAAGAAAGTAGAATATATCAATGTATCGTCGGTTTTAAGCCTGCAACACATGCCAATTGCAGGAATACCGTTACCGGAGAATTATTTGGATACGGGATGGGTATACAATGTGTCAGAATTAACTCATACAGACATGAGTGATAAAGTGCTGGAAGCACTTGATCGGGAAATTGACAGTTTAAATGAGCATAAATCGAAAATTAACGGAGATGCAACAGTTAAAAGTACCAGTAAATGGTGGAATATATTTGGGATATTTGAAACGAACATTTTCAGTGGGATACATGCAATAATAATGTGGATAGAGAGAACATGCATGATATATATGGTTTGGATAGTAATAATAAAGGGGAAATTAATAAATTATCGGGCCCGAGTTCGAAGAAATGCTGCAGCAAATGTGTAATCTGGATGAAGGAGACCTCCCTACTTACTCAACGACAGCCGGCTTTACAACAACGTTGAACGGGAGTGAACTTCTTAACCTCAATTATACGGTTCGGACTTGATTAGAGATTTTAAAGTAAAGACATGTGGACAAAAATAGATTATATGTTTAATTAAAGAATAATACAAATGTGGAATTTGTGATATAGTGAAGTGGACTTATGAATTGCTTACGAGACTTAAGAAACGTAATATGATGAAATGGAAACTATGTATAATGAAACATAGATTTAGTCTAAAGAAATGGTGAAATGGAAACTATGTATAATAATGGAACATAGATTTATGAGATAATGGATTGAATATGCTCAAAGACACGTATACGATATTATGTATAACTAATGCATCCAATAAATTAGGGACGAGATGAAGGAGAAATTAAAAGGGATTCTATTCATAACAAGTATATTAGCAAGGGTACAAGGGTTAATCGAAGATCTAACGGTAATACAAGAAGAAAAGGGAATTGTTCTATCGGGTATTGGGGTATTGGCAGAGGATGCCAATCCTATGTTTATATCCACTTTTTTGAAGATAAAAAACCCGTCGATGGACGATAACGCGTGTATGGGGATCTGTGATTTAGATAATCAAGAGATTTTGGACAAACTATCATTGGAGAAATGTGATCAAATGGAGGGAAAAACGGGTCACGACGATCTTTTGATCCAAAAAATAATTTTGGAGGGGACAGAAGAAAACGATACTACCACGGTACAGTGTTTTAGCGCTTGTTTAAAAAATAGGGAATGCAAGAATTTTGGGACAAGGCCATTAGCAGATGGGAGTAAGACGGATTGTATGCTACGAACGGGACCATCTACAACAAGAAAAACATGGGAAGGGGCAAGAGAATATGATCTAAAGTGTATGGTGGGAGACAAGCAACAATTTTGCAAGGATCGTATATCAGACACGAACAGATTTATAAACCGGGAAAACACCAAATATGTGAATTCCACAATGGAGGGATTTAAGGCGATGATTTCAGTGATGGGAACAAAAAAGAGGGTTAGGAGATATGTCGCTCCTATTATGGGAAGTTTGGGAATGATAACCAGTGGGTTTGCCTTGTTTGAAACGTATCAATTGCAACAGCATATTGATCAAATAGAACATCAATTTGAAGAATTTCGCCAGGATGTTGAGGATTTTGAACGGGCCTCTATACTTTTTCATGAAAATATTTTGAAAATATACAGGACTTTAGAAACTAAGATGAGCGAGGGTTTCGAGAAAATTGAATGCAATCTTAGAAATTTGGCTTATCAAATGTTATTCAGCAGACGACTTGTGGAATGGAAATTGTTTATGGACATCATTTCGAAAGATCTGATTACGGGTCAATTAGTGGGAACTGTAAGTCCAAAACTTTTTAATGAAACAGACATTAAAATGATCTTGGATCGCACAGAATTGAGGGATACCATATATACTAGGGATATAGGACTATTTTACAGACTAAGCAGGACCTGGGTTTCTAAAATCACGAAGGATGGGGATATGTATAACATACATATGGTGATATCGATTCCGAATATAAAAATCCATAAAGTTTACACTATGTATAAGGCACAATCGGTGGGTATGATCAATGGGACAATTTGTTCTAATTTTCAAATTCCGGAAATAGTGTATAAAAAGGGGGACGACTTCTACGGGTTAAATGATCCTGACAACTGCCAGGAACGGGGAAATATACGTCTGTGCTTAAGAAAACAGGGTCTTGAGTCAGCGTCCATGAACGCGGTGGTAAAATGCCTGGCAGGGGAACACACTACTTGTGAATTGTATAAAGAAAGATGTGTAACACGAAACATTCAAACGACAGGGGGTGCCATGGTGAGAGTAATGAACAACTTGCAAGCTACTACCAAAGCGAGCCCAGATAAATACGTGACTGTTCTAAAGGGAGCAGGGGTAAAATTTTTGAATTATACAAACTATTTCGAAATTTCGGCGGACGGAATATTGATTAAAGCGATACAAGATCCGATATATGTTAAAACGCTGACATTGGAAAATCCTAGAGAGTGGGAATCATATCTTGACGGCAAATTCGAACAATTCAAAACGGCCGATTTCGGGAAGCTAAGGGACAATTTGGATGAACAAGAAAATGCGTTAAGGGAACTACAGAATGCTAGTTTAGAACCAGGGACTAACAAAGTATTAACTGTGATTAATGCAATCATGTGGGTACTGGGTGCCACATTTATCGGGTGCCTCGGGTCATATTGTTATTGTAAAACAAAGAGCAGAGCCGGTTATATGCCAGGGGAAACTAGAAATTGTGACGATGAAGAAAAGGGGGACATAGAGCTAGCGAAATTAGAAGAGAAAAGGGAAGAGATAACAGATAAAATAGGAGAAACCACAACCTCAGGAGGGACAGAGTTGAGAAAGAGAGCCGCTAGCAAAACGCAAAGTGACGAGACACGGCCGGTTAAGTTTTACAAGATTGGAGACGTGCAGGACGAGTTATCAAAATCAGATTAGTTTTGATGGGATTTTGAAGGGGAATTTAAAGGGAATTTGAACACAAAGACGAGATTAAAAACAAGGGATAACTACGGAAAATTAAAATATACATTAAAATTTTACATTAAAAATTAACAATTAAAAATACGAGAAAAAACAGTCCGGGACTAAAAAACTTTCCGCTGGCCCCAGAGGGGGCTGGAGGGGGAGCCGCAGGGACCACAACTGGTTCAGGAACGAGCCTCCTGAAATTTTATTCGATTAAAATTGATATCGGGTAAAAAAAAAAAAAAAAAAAAAAAAAAAAAAAAAAAAAAAAAAAATCGGTTCGAAAATAAATTAGAAATCAAAATGTTTCGTTTGTTAACTTACTTATTGCAGAGGTCCTCCTCGCAAGTGCGGCAATTACGAAGATTTGCCCCTGATAAACGATTATTTTAGCATTATGAAAGCGGAAACTTTACCTTTTGAATTGTGGGAAATGATTTTATTTGGGGTAACAGAAAACACATTACTAGAATTAAGACGGGTGAATAAACACTTTGAATCGATTGTAGGGAAAATAATCAGGGATAAAGAGGGCAAATACGATAAAGAAACAGAAGAGTTGAAAGGGGAATTGCCGAAATCAATTTTACGGCTGGTCAAACAAACTTTCTTATGGGGACAGATTTTAACAAAAGATGGGAAATTTATGTTCATGTGGAAATGCTTAAAATGGACCTACAAGGGGCCACAAGGACCATACAAACCGTATTGGTATTTTAGAAATACAAGGGTGCCTACTTTTACAGATTTAAAAAATTTACACGGGATTGACAAAGAGGAGTATGAAAAATTTATTAACGAACAATGGGCAGATGTAGGGGAACAAGAAAGAAGATGTATCAAATACGAAGGGAGGTTAAAAAATGTGATTGAATGTATTGCGGGTCTAGAAAGCAAAGAAAGGTTATCAGAAAGAAAAGCAAAAATTAGACGGCAAATTTGGAAAAACAGTGCCGCCTCATCAACAACTGAAATTTTATTAGAATAATTTACATACCTTTCTCCCGAGGACAGGACCCACACCCGTAGTGAACCCAACGCATGTCAGGGAAGCGGGGTCTGAAAAGGGGATATTGGAATTGATGCAAGAATCATCAAAAGGGAAGAATCAGTTTAAAACAATTGTGAAAATAAGGGAATCCGAAAAACAGGGTTAAACTATAGCAGTAAATTTGATACGAAGATTATTACCTATAGCAATAATTCCCGGCACAAGGGGCGGGATTTCCCTGTTCATCAAAACAGAACAGGGAGTTAGCACTCCCCAAAATAATCATATAAATGATTAAAATCATCATGACCTGTAAAATGATATCAATAAGTATAGGGATTCAGTACTTTCAGAAATGCAATGATATATGGGGTAAAAACGGGGTATCGATAAACTCAACTTTTCGAATCACTAGGGACTGAGAAAGTATAATGCTGAACAAATGAGTAAAGGGTAAAACAATAATGAATTTACTCACCAAGTCATGTAATCAGCAGCTATCAGGGTTGATAACATCGGAATTGTACTGATAAACATTATCATCACTGATTAATAAAACAGGTCGGGGTCAGTCAGTAAATAGACGAACTACAGTTTGGTATTAGAATATTAACATAAATTTGGGGTTAAAAGCCACAATTTACAAACAAGCAAAAGAAACAACTAACAGCTCACTATCTCATCTTCAACGAAAATGGACCGATATGGAACAATGGACGTTTGCCCTAATGGTGTTATTCACAAAACTGTAAAAATTGATTAAAGACTTGAATACATAAACCCTAATGGTGCAATTATTTTACAAGATGGGCTTTTCAATAAAGATTTATCTTTCTATCCGTCATCTTAATTGTGACAGATATTTTGTGATTATGTTATGATTTAAACTCTTTAAATTCTTAATCAAAAAGAATACCAGTACAAGTGCAATAAACAAAAAAGAAAAGGGGTGATGTGCAATAGAGGGACATAAAAAGCACCACGGGATACGTTTACAACAAAAAAGAAGGGAGTGGTGTTGGGTATTTCAATATGACGTCATAGTATCTTAAGTCACCCGAGATGTAATAGTACTTCACTTCACTTTCATAGGCACTTAACTTCATGGATGCTCCATTTTACGCTCTAGTGACAGAACAGGTGCTATAAGTTAAGGAGAGTAATAAGTTTAGGACACATAATGCATTCGGTCAAGACGTCAAGAGGACACGTGATAGTCAAAGGGACCAATCAAAGTATATGCTTAGACGATAGGAGGGAGAATTTAAATACGACCGAACAATTTACGAGGTTCTGAGATCAACAGAAGGGGACGAACATAGCAATTCAATGAGGGGAGGCCGTTACGGATCGAACGATAAATTAACTTAGCACCGATAAGTAGTGTCAGATATTTAGTTGTTTGACGGGACTCCAAGCACGTGACACTTACGACACAAGTCACGAGAATAGCATCGCACTTCAAAACCCAGCTCACAGCATCGACAAGCTCAGTTCATCAAAGGGGGACTATCAGTAAACAAGGGATCAAGGGAACAAATAATAAGGGTACAGGGACCCTAACTGATGAGGCACAACGGGACACAACTGTATCCGGGACTTTAGTACTTGGTTAAGTTACGTTTGTCAGTTAATATTGTACGTTCTTGATCTTCATCTATAATATTACTTGAGAACCCGAGTTTATTCTTAGTTATATAAAATAGTAGGGAAAGAAGTAAATACTTAGAACGCCAACAGGTTTATAACTTAAAGTTTTATTTTCCAATGGTTAATAGGTAAAGATTAAAAAAGTAAAACAAGACTGAGCACTTCAAAATTTGTAGAATTTGTAACTTGATTTGAAATACGCGGCGATAATAAAAAATGTCCAATGTTGGCAGTGTAATTTATGAGATATGCGACGTTTATTGAGTGATGCATAAGTGTGTGCATATAATCTAAGATGTAGAGACAAGGTTATTATCGGCATTTTGGTTTATGTTACGCTTTGATTTTCTTAGTCCTGTTATACAAAATAACATGAAATTAGGCCACTCGTCTTCGATGTTTTCATTTTGCTGATCGATGAGCATAGTTTTAATCTAAGAACACTTTAACTATATATCCTTGGTTTACACTTGAACATAATATATAAGCGCGCATCTAATCGTTTTCCTATGTAAAAATGTACATTTCAGGTGAAAGAGCTGGTACACATTTTAGATGGGAAGGAAACTACCCGGGGACAAAAGAGAATCAACCCTGGTATCAACAATCTCACTCTCAACTACTGCTTCAACGTTGCTGCTTCTAAATTTGTCGTAAGTTCTTGATCAGCTCATTTCAATTCTGTCCTGTTTGCTTGATATGTTTTGTGAAAACATGTGTAACAAGATGAAAATGTGCTTTTCCTGACAATGTTTTAGAGTTTTAGTTCGACTTGTTATGACAGTTTTTACTCACATGTGACACACATGTGACAGTTTGTACTCACATGTGACACACATGTGACACACATGTGACTCAGGATCAAGCCTGCGAACAAGTAGCGTTCAGTGACAACCTCGTACCTGCATTCAGTATTGCTGCTGTGAGTACAGGTAATAAACATGATATATTCTTATAATAGGGATGGGGGGGGGGGGGTCAGGGGGTGTCACGTCCGTGTATGTCCGCTTGTCAGGACAGGACAGGACATGTAGGCGGACATAGGTGGACATGTCACCCCCCCCCCCCCACCCCCCTATAATCCTTTTCAAAGAAGTTTATAAACCATCTTAATAGTACACGACTAGATAAGTAGTTAAATAAATTCTAGTTCAACTGAGTAGTTACTAGTTAGTGATAAGAAATTGTTTCACTTTAGTTTAATAAACCTGTGTATTATATAGTAGAGAATACCGTGTTGCGCGTCACATGTTTATGTAAAATGAACAATAAACTGGTATTTAACAGTTACCACCTACTCAGGAAAAACTGGTATTTAACAGTTACCACCTACTCAGGAATAACTGGTATTTAACAGTTACCACCTTCTCAGGAATAACTGGTATTTAACAGTTAGTCAGTTACCACCTACTCAGGAAAAACTGGTATTTAACAGTTACCACCTACTCAGGAAAAACTGGTATTTAACAGTTACCACCTACTCAGGAAAAACTGGTATTTAACAGTTACCACCTACTCAGGAATAACTGGTATTTAACAGTTACCACCTTCTCAGGAATAACTGGTATTTAACAGTTACCACCTACTCAGGAATAACTGGTATTTAACAGTTACCACCTTCTCAGGAATAACTGGTATATAACAGTTACCACCTACTCAGGAAAAACTGGTATTTAACAGTTACCACCTACTCAGGAAAAACTGGTATTTAACAGTTACCACCTACTCAGGAATAACTGGTATTTAACAGTTACCACCTACTCAGGAATAACTGGTATATAACAGTTACCACCTACTCAGGAAAAACTGGTATTTAACAGTTACCACCTACTCAGGAATAACTGGTATTTAACAGTTACCACCTTCTCAGGAATAACTGGTATATAACAGTTACCACCTACTCAGGAAAAACTGGTATTTAACAGTTACCACCTACTCAGGAAAAACTGGTATTTAAAACAGTTACCACCTACTCAGGAATAACTGGTATTTAACAGTTACCACCTTCTCAGGAATAACTGGTATTTAACAGTTAGTCAGTTACCACCTTCTCAGGAATAACTGGTATATAACAGTTACCACCTTCTCAGGAATAACTGGTATTTAACAGTTACCACCTACTCAGGAAAAACTGGTATTTAACAGTTACCACCTACTCAGGAAAAACTGGTATTTAACAGTTACCACCTACTCAGGAATAACTGGTATTTAACAGTTACCACCTTCTCAGGAATAACTGGTATATAACAGTTACCACCTACTCAGGAAAAACTGGTATTTAACAGTTACCACCTACTCAGGAAAAACTGGTATTTAAAACAGTTACCACCTACTCAGGAATAACCGGTATTTAAAACAGTTACCACCTACTCAGGAAAAACTGGTATTTAACAGTTACCACCTACTCAGGAATAACTGGTATTTAACAGTTACCACCTACTCAGGAAAAACTGGTATTTAACAGTTACCACCTACTCAGGAAAAACTGGTATTTAACAGTTACCACCTACTCAGGAATAACTGGTATTTAACAGTTACCACCTACTCAGGAATATGGCAGAAACACAAATTATTCGGAGACCTCTTCCTGGGACACCTCTACAAACGGTGTCCGTACATTCTGCCAGCCTACTGGAACAAGAAGTCAGGGGAAACCAATGAGGATTACCTCAGGTTACTTTTTATTATCTTCGGTTTACTGTGTTCAAGTTAATTGTTGTATTGTCCAATTAGCTCGCTCAGCATTTACTCTATCACACAACTATTTGGTTACGAATGATTGAGATGAGATGTAATTATTATTTCGGTAATGAACAGTTAAAGGTAACAGTTACCTTGTGACTTTTTGAAATGTAGTGAAATATAGTGAAATATAATGAAATATAGTGAAATATAATGAAATATAGTGAAATATAGAGATATTTAAAGATTCTATTTCTCAGGAGGGTGGGATACTCGAATGATGGTGATAAGTTAGAGGAAACTGATAAATATCTGCTAAAGATGGAGGGATGTGTCAAACTATACGCTGCCATCATACAAGGACCTCCTACTTTCTCAAACACGGTTTGTTAAAATGATTTTGAAATTAACAATATAGTAATCAACCAGGTCATTGAAAAATGAACTTGGAATAAAGAAAGCTTAGATTTTTGTTTTGTAAACAATAAATTCTCTTTTTATTAACTATGCACTAGACGGGGAAATAATACGGCGTTAACACACCAAATATAAATAATTGTTGCCCCAATTCGTATGATCACCATATTTTTTCCCTTTATTTGGTATAATAAAATTTACTTAAATTACTAGTCATATAACAATTTGATTGCTTTATATTGAAAATTGTTCCCTGAGCTGTAACATAACTGACACATCTTGTCTCTCTCAGCCTCATCCTCACGGTGTATCAAACGGTTGGCTGTGGTTGTCCCGGATGTTGAACCTAGAGCCAATGCCAGACATTACAGCCACCGCTCTTGAAGCCTTCCTCAAGGTAGCAGGTTCGGCTATGCTCAGAGTGTACAAGTCACAGTTCCTGAAACTCTTAGAGTTCCTGTACACCCACTATCTTCCTAAGTGAGTTTCAGTATTGGTATTTAAAATGTATATACATTATACAATATACATTATACATTCTCGGTATTGTGAGATAAATGTTGTTGTGAATTTTGAACTTGTTCGGCATCCACATTCCACATGCTACCTAAACATTCCTTTTAACTGATCTATATTTACAGAATTGAAGCGGTAACACTAGAGTCAAACCTCGGTCCCATAACAAGACTGAGACTTTATTTGGAAAAGATTCAGAAGACTGGATCTGTCCCTGAACCAGAGGGCAGGGTCCCCCAATCCATCTGCAGTTGATTCATTAAAAAGAACTATCTCAAAACTGACAAACTGTACGAACTCGATGAATTTGTAAGCTTCGCTTAAATTTAATCTATGATTTTTAATGGAAAGGTATTTATGTTAATCACCAAGATTTAATTTATTAAGCTTTTACTATCATGTGATTCCAAGTTTAGAACTTTTTAAATTTGACTAGAAATATGGATACAGAGCATCCATCCATGCTAAAATCTCAATCTTTTATAAATTTTTGATTCTCAAAGGTTTTTATCTGGATTTTTATTAACTGTCAAAGGTTTTTATTTGGGTTTTTAGAATTTTCATAATATTTTCATAGACAGAGTAGGGTTCTCACGTCTGGAGATATATCGTGTCTTTTAAGTTAAGAGTTCTTGGTAAATAAGCTATTGTTGTTACCTTATCTTTATTAAAGATCTTAAATTTACTGTATAATTTAAATTGATTTATGCACTTGAAAAGGGTTTTTACTCCCAAAATTAAATTATCAAATTTTCGTCTCATTTTCCAATTTCTGTTCAATAACAACTTTCTACAGTTATAATCACTGAGTTACGGAATTTCGATGAAAATAATTTCAACTGATCTGTTCTCAGCAGACTTGCTTCCATGTCCCAACCACACCTAACAACACCTAACCACACCTAACAACACCTAACCACACCTAACCACACCTAACAACACCTAACAACACCTAACAACACTACAGAACAGCAGGTAGGTACAAGATGTCAGAAAACAAACCAACTCTGCTCTCCTACGAGAAACAGGCCCTAATGGACCTACTCACAGAGGACTGTTTGGTGGTTCTAGCTGAAGGTATACTCTACCACAACATCCTGCTCTCATACCTGGACAGTTTCTCCAACCCCGGCACTCTGGTCCTGGTGGTGGACTGTGAGGATGTGCTTGAGGAATGGTTACTGGAGAAACTCACCATCAGTGAAAGCACTGTGGTTCCTCCGAAGAAGGTGACGTCTGAACTTCATGTTGAGAAGAGGATGGATCATTATCTTCAGGGTGGGGTTCAGTTCATATCTAAACGAATTCTTGTGATTGATCTGTTGTGTAAGAGGATTCCCGTTGATCTTATCACGGGGATTATCTTCTTTAACGCACACTATGTCAGAGACACTTCAATAGAGTCCTTTATAACTAGACTCTTCCGAACAGATAATAAAACTGGATTCTTAAAAGCTTTCTCCTCCAGTCCTATTCAGCTCAATAAATTTAACCAGGCTGAGAAATGTATGAGGCATCTGTTTCTTCCAAGAATTCATCTTTGGCCTAGATTTCACGCCAATATCTCAGAGTGTATTGATAAGCACAAGTGTGAGGTGATTGAACTTCACATTCCTTTAACGGATATCATGAAAAACCTGCAGATTTGCATCATAGATTTGTTACATTTCTGTATGAAGGAAGTCAAGAAGCACATTCCCTCGTTAGACTCTGATTTCTTTGTTGTAGAAAATGCTGTTGCTAAGGATTATTTCCGATCACTAAAAAAAGTGTTGAATCCGATGTGGTCTCACCTTGGTTCGAACACTAAGCAACTTGTTGAGGACATAAAGACCATCTCTAGGCTAAACAACCAGTTATTACAGTGTTCGGCAGTCAGGTTCTACGAGGTTGTTCACAAACTTAAACCCACTGGAGCGTCTAGAAGCAGTAGGGTGTGTTTGTGGATGTTCACTGAAGCGTTCGGTAGACTTCTCTCATTGAGCAAGCAACGAGTTGAGCAAAGGGATGCAGAAAAGATAGAGCTATCACCCAAATGGGAGGCCATCCAAGAGATTCTGGCAGAGATCAAATCAGAAAATAAAGGTCAAGCCTCTAAAAACACTCTTTTCTGTGTTTCCAGCAATGCTACTGCGAGGCAAATTGTCAGATTCATTAAGTATGGCGAAGTCTCAACGTTAGCAGAGGAACTTCTCAGCACACAGAAACACCAGGGAGTAGAGACTGAAGAAACTAATGAGCAAGAGCAGGGACTTGAGGCCAGTCATAACATTTACTTCTTGGTTGAAAACAGGTACACCATGATAAACGAACATCTGAACTCTTTAAATCCTACCTATGTGATCCTCTACGATCCTGATCTGTTCATGGTCCGATCTCTTGAAATGTTTCGTTGTAGAAGGCCAGGGAAACCTCTCAGGATATACTTCCTGGTTTATGATAACTCAATAGAGGAACAACGTTACCTAACCCAATTATCAGAAGAGAAGAAAGCGTTTGAACAGCTGATCATGATGAAGGGAAACATGACAGTCTACACTGACCAGGACGGTAAAGAGGGAACTAATGCTATGCTAGAGAGGGGTAAACAAGGCCTCAAGTTCAAGGATTTGGAGAGTCAGGACTCAAGGCAGAACAAGGTGAAATCCTTCCCTAAAGTTATTGTTGATATGAGGGATTTTAGGAGTTCTCTTCCTTCAATTCTCCACAAATCAGGTATTGATCTGGTCCCTAAGACTATCGAGATTGGTGATTATATTCTGACTCCTGATATTTGCATCGAAAGAAAGAGTATAATGGATCTGATTGGCTCGCTATCAAGTGGAAGATTGTTCCAACAATGTCAGTCCATGTGTAACACATACAAACACCCCATGTTGCTGATAGAGTTTGACGAAGCTAACGGTTTCTCTCTACAAAACTACTCCAGTGTATCAGACTCTGTGGTTACAACCTCCCTTCAGACCCAGCTAACACTCATCACCCTCCACTTTCCCAAACTCAGGATGATCTGGAGTCAGTCTGAGTACACTACTGCTAACATTTTCCATGAGCTAAAGAAAGGTAAGGATGATCCGGATGTGGCTACCATTGAGGGCATATCTAAAGAATCCAGCATCACCACCAGTGAGTTTAACCACTCTGCAGTTAACTCCTTGTTGCAGCTTCCCGGGATCACATCTAAGAATTATTTTTTGTTGGCGAGAAAGTTTCAGAGTTTGTTAGAGGTTTCTGCTGCTTCTAAAGAGACGTTATCAGAAGTTTTAGAAAATAAAGAAGAAGGCAGGGCCTTGTTCGAATTTTTTAATCAAGTTGAGAGTAAAAATAAGCCTGACGAGAAGGTAACAGGTGCTAAAAGTAAATACGCTAAATTTAAGAAATTCAGGAAGAAATAGATGTGTTCGATTTTAAGCTTTTAAGAGAAACTTTTTTAAAGACTGTATTTTGAATAATTTTATACAACTTAATACTCAAGTATCTTAATAATTTATTTTTCCGTGTCCCGCCCAGATAATATAAATAACAGAAGATAATTGTGGTATGTCTATAATCCATTGTGTATTTGTTAACTTGATACAATATGTTTTAACAATATCTTTACTTCAAGTCAGCTAGTAATTTACTGTGCATGTTACATGTCAGGATCTGGAAACTGTCCAGGTCACGTGACTCATTGTCTGTGTCACGTGACTCATTGTCTGTGCTTGTGAGGAGAGCATTATCTGTGAGCTGACAGATAAAGTTGTACGCTGCTTGATACGGCTCACGTATCATGTGTTAGTTTTTCCGGCGCTGCATCATGTATCTGATTATTGTACTTGTTTTGTTTATTTAAAGCGTTATCTTAGTGATGTTTTGTGATTATTGTACTTGTTTTGTTTATTTAAAGCGTTATCTTAGTGATGTTTGTACTTGTTTTGTTTATTTAAAGCGTTATCTTAGTGATGTTTGTACTTGTTTTGTTTATTTAAAGCGTTATATTAGTGATGTTTGTACTTGTTTTGTTTATTTAAAGCGTTATCTTAGTGATGTTTGTACTTGTTTTGTTTATTTAAAGCGTTATCTTAGTGATGTTTGTACTTGTTTTGTTTATTTAAAGCGTTATCTTAGTGATGTTTTGTCAGTTCAAGCTGTCCGTGTTATGTTGCCAGTAAATATTTCTTCAGGGGTTTGTTTGTGTTTTATTCAGTAGCGTGCCCAAACTATACCCTGGATTTTCCTTGTGAGACAAGAGAAACGCCATCTTAGGACGTGAGTAGAGAAAGGACTTCTCGGACTACATTTAGGTGATTCCTTCTGTAACGTCCTCAATAAATGTAATACATTTGTAGTGTTGTAATTAGCACAATACCGATTGATCTCTGAGACTGTAACCACTCGCACTGGTGTATCTTTTGCAACTAATATCTACATAATATAAAATCATCACCAAGTGATCCCATTTCAGCAATGTAAAAAAGCCAGCTGCCAATGAAGTTCATATACCGCACCCTGCTATCAATTGGAACGGTAGTTGCAGTTTTGATCTACTTCTACTGCACCCTCCTGGATACCCCTCCAGAAACTGAGCTTCTCCCTTACATCAGTGATAGGTTCGGGGAGGAGTGTTTACACGAGGGAGTAGTGTATAAAGAGGGGGAGGTGTTCGTGCTGACTTGTGCGGAGTGCTACTGCTCCTTTGGGAGGGTTGAGTGTGCTGTGGTGCATTGTAAGGAGATTAGGAATACTCTGGGGATGGACCTCATAACCAGGGCCGTTCAAGTTCTCATACCCACGCTTGTTCAAGATTTTGCGGGGACTGTAGCTGTGATGAACTCAGTTTTAAAGCATACAAAACAAAAGATTAAATTCACGATAGTCCTATACCATAACGACGATGTTGATCAAATTCAGGTTAACCATCTAAAAAACTGGATAGAAGGCAGTGATCTGAGATCAGCAGATTATGTTATCACACCATTTAATGATAGAACCGGGGAGGGAGCGGATTCTTACTTCATGGAAGATTACCAGAAAAAGAAACAGTCGTACGAGGAAACAATGAAAAAGGAGATGAGAGAGTTGGGGCCCGATAATAGGGGACCTGATCAGATGGTGCCATTAGGTGGTGTTAAGTCCAAGAGAAGAACTGCAGTGTTGCTGTTAAATACCCTGCTTCCTAGGGAACACCGGGTGGTGGTTCTCAGTAATCACGTGCTAATCAAGGGAGACATCGCTGAATTGTTCAATGTGGATATGAAGGGTAGCTCTGTTGCAGTTATCAATACTTGTACAGGGTCTTACCTATCACCCTCTTCTCGTTTTAAAGACTTCTTTAAGCCACCCCTCTTGGAACATTACGGGGTCCCGGGTGATCAGTGCATCTTTTCTCCAGGTGTCATTGTAGCTGACCTTGATGAGTGGTTTTCTGGGGAGACTGAATCTCAACTCTCTGTCACCCTGTGGCATGTTCTGAGCAATGTAGATCATTTGGTTTCCAGTGAGGCAGCTAGTTTTGCTCCGCTTCTCCTCAATTTTTGGAACCAGTCACGTGATTTAGGGAATGTGTGGAATGTTTGTAACCTTGGTAATACTGAGTGTAACCATGGTCACGGTCCCCCTGCTCCTGCTGTGTTAGAAGGAGCTAAAGTGATAGATTGGGGGTTTCAGAGACCGTGGAAATGTAAAAACTCGTTCAATTTGTGGGAAGAGTATTTTCTACCTGACCCTACTGGAATGTTTAGATTAAGTAATCCTCACGACTCTCGTGATGATTTATAGCGAAGAGCAGGGGAATTATAAAGTCTTATTTATTTGCTGCATGTTATAAAGTATATGAGGTAAGGCAATGTTAATAAGATGCTTATAACAATTTACAGACAATTTAATTTCCTTACAATAACATATTTATTTTTAAAATTTGAACGTTGTTAATAATATTTATCTGTATTATTATTTATTTGGGATTTTGTGATGTATTAATTATTGTGCTGATATTGTGTGCTTATTTTACGAGGCACATTCTTTAAAGTAACAAGAAAATTAATTGTGCAATACATAAAATACTTCTTCATTCTTGTACATCTTTTGTATTCGCCAATTAAAGTGTTTTCTTGATTTTCTTTACATGATTATATTTCGTGGAATATCTTGGTTATTTGACATTTTTCGTAAATCTTTAAGCATCATTTTTCAATCGCTGCTTTGTTTGATGGATACGTTTATTTATTTATTAGTTTAAATTGAAACTTACATGACATAACATGACATAACATGGAGGGGGGGGGGGGGGGGGGGGGGGAGAGAGGCGAAAACTCATTCTCAAAAATTGATTTTGAGTATTTTTGGACCACATTGCACTGATATGATCAGAAGAATGATTTTGTATATCACTATTTTTGGGTGGGCAATTTTTGAGAAAATAAGAAATCCATAATGAATTTCTCAGATTCAAAAATAATTTTTGAGACATTTTTGAGTATTCCCTGCGAAAATGGTAAAATTCTCAGATTCAACAATTCTCAAAAATACTCATGACCCGCCCCCCCCCCCCCCCCCCCCCCCCGGCCCCCTATTTAAACTAGACTGTAATTTCGTGTTTGCAATTGAAATTTCGGACATTAATACCTTTTTACTCTTAGACTCGCCTCTCAAGTTGATGTCAATCATGGGAAAAGCTATGCTTTTCTCGGTATCTCCTCAAAAATCGTCCCAAATTGAAGCTTCTAATTTGAAATCTTCTCAAATTACTGATAAAGTATATTATCTCCTAATATTTGTCTTATAGAAAATGGAAGAACAGGTTCTAGTTGAGATCGGTGGTACATATGAGTTGGTAGACAGGAATCATCTTATCACTCCCGAGACAGTGAGTTCCCTGTTCCTACAGTTCATATTATGTTTCATCGAGTTGTTTTAATATTCAGTACATTCAATTACTGTTTAAAGATTTTATCGTTCCTAATCGTTCCTAATGGACATGACTCATGAACTCGAGACTCTAGGTTACTGAGTTTTATTATTATATCGTGTATTACCGGGAAGGCTGTTAATTTAGGATAGAGTTTTTGTGGCACTTATCTTTTTGTTCTTTTGTAGTTTTTCTCACACAGCTGAGTAAAAGTTTTTCAACTTAAAAGCAGTGTTTATAATTCAATTTATTATTATTATTTTGACGTCATCTCGCTTCCTTTATTTTGTTTAATCGGTGCATCTTATTCAGGTTGAATCCGACTCGAAGGAAGAAAATGAAGAAGAAAAAGAAGAAATCGAAAGAGAGGCCTCACCAGAACAGTTGACATCCACATCAGACGGCGAAGCTTCAAGTGAGCAGTCACCATCTCCTAAACAGGAGGTCACACGTGCAACATCGCAGCCTGAAGAAAATGTAGCTTTAACACGTGCAACCTCGTTGGAGCAGACCCCTCGGCCTGCGTCAGTCCAGTCTCTCAGATCCTCCTCCCAGCCTTTATTACACACTAAACAGTACAAACAGTACGAGCGAACATCGACCCCCAAAAGGTAAGTGATTTAATTTGTACTTGTAGTCTATAGAGCATGATTTTAACAGGTTTCACCCATCAGAATTGCAGCTCGAATTATTGATAATAACGAGTTTCCACTTTTCCAAAGGGGGTCCACCTGAGGAAAGTGAGATTCTAAGCAACCAAGTTAGGAATCTTTTTGACCTCTCAATTGTTTCACTTAAAAGGTGGGCAACCACATGCGGCCATCTCCATTTGTTCCTAAATTTTGGTCAAATGGGCAAGAGAACTGATAGGCATCAGCTTTAAAACAGCTAAAACTTGAGTCGCGATAAAAAAGGACATATTATTACCTTAAGAACGCCCAATTTAGTCTACGATAAATTTAGTCAAAATTTTGACTAAAATTGTCGTTAACCAAATTTATTGAGACTAAAGTTTTCGGCGACTAATTTAAAAGCAGACTAAAATTTCAGTAGAGCATGTATATATGACATGAATATTATTGAGCTTACATTGTTTATAGTTAATATAATGACATTACCGTTCCTACTGCTGAACTACTTTGACTATTACACGTGTAATCCACTGCTCTTTAAATGCTTTCACATTAGCTTACTTCCTTTTCCCATCAGGCAGTATCTGCATATAGTTGAAGTAATTATGTGAAACCAACCCTTCTAAAAATGTAGCCTTTAAACCACTGCTATATGTTATAATAAACCGTTAAACTGTTAAATATCGCAAACTGTACAAAGGATCCTACTGCATGAAATAAGAAATGTGATGTTATGATATGTAATATAACTGATGTCGTTAGAATTTTCCCAGATCGAGAATATTCTTGTGCGAAATCGAAAAAACATCTAGCTAAATAATGGAAAAATCAAATAAATGAAATTTAAAATGGTCTCGAAAAGTCGAAAAATGTGACTAAAATTATTGGTGTAGACTAAAAATTTGCGAAATTTGTAACTAAAATTATGGTAACCAACATATTTTTTGTAACCAAATTTATTGGCATTAAGGTACTATCAAATTAAATTGGATTACTTTATCTTTGATTACATTGTATTTAATTTAAACAAATAAGAAACACACTTTCTTGCAGATTACATTAAAGTAGTTTAAATTTACAGACTAATTTCGAAAAATTTTGAAAAATTCAATCTATGAATAAAGAAATCTATTTTTCACCATGACGCGACTAAAACAGATAGTAACAAGTTTCTATCCCCTCGATTTGAAAATAATGTAGCCAGTAAATGAATATGCCATCAGCAAACAACACAATGTGCAGATGTGCGAGGAGGTTCTCTCAATAACAAGTGGAAATTGAGATATTGCGTTAGCATTTCATGTTACAGAACAGCTTGCAATTCGTTTTCAAAGGGTATGAAGTCTTACACTCGGCCCCATAATCTGTCTTATAGTTCTGGCACCATTCTACTGTCTGTACATTCGTGCAGGGTTGGGAGTATTTACCATAACCTGGAAAATTAACCATTTCATATTAAGGAAATTTTAAACTTTGCTAAACATAGAATTAACATACGAAATCTTAAAATTCAGTAAAAGGGTTCAACATGATGCAACAATAAGGAGATAGCTGTTTTGGAAATTACTAAGTGTAAACATTAAACATATTGTAAAGGAAATATTTGCAATGACCTACCAGAACACACAGTTACAAGTAGTAAAAGTATCGCAATCTTCATCACCTGCACCATTATTTTAGTTCCCTGTAATCTGTATTCATGATATTAATACCATGGATTTGAAAGAAAGGTGGTACCTATACCAATATTCAGATCAAGTATCCGCCGGGTAGAAATATTTATGACAAACTGAATCAGTATTGCTCTATAATAGTGTCAATAATTGACACATGGTATGTATTTGATAAAACGATGATACTAGGGGAGTCTACAACATCAGTATCAAATGAAAACTGTCGGGCTTTAGTGTGATGTTGAAGATACTTAGATTATAGAAAAGAGGATAGCCAGATGTATCTAATTATGGGTACAGTCTGGAAAGACTTCGTGACAAAACAAGTATCTACTGGTATATCGTCCTAGTTGCTCAAGGCAAAAGAATTAAATGTTAGTGAACTGGAGCAATGAAATAATGAGAGACACAGCTCAATCCATTCTATTTCATCATTAAAAACCATTCCTTTTTGGAATTTATCCACAGTGTGTTGAAACCGAATGCTGTACCTCAACAATGTTCTGCCTCATTGTACCCATTAACACAGCTCATTCCATTCTATTTTACCAGTAAAAAACATTCCTTTTTGGAATTTATCCACAATGTATTGAAACAGAATGCTGTACCTCAACAATGTTCTGCCTCATTGTACCCATTAGCAGCTCGAGCAGGCCACAGAAAATTGATTGAATTTTTCCCCGATCCATGACTCAAAGTGCCGAAGGCACAAAAGAGTCAAGGACAAGGGTTAGCGAACGAGGTTTTTTTTGATATGGTAGCTTTGCGACCGTGCGTGCGAGCGTGCGTACATACGTGCCCTCGCCACACTGTTATCGCCCACGTGACTACCTGTGCAAAGTTATTTTGCGCAATAATCTGAATTAAATAATTGTTGGCGCGCGGCGCTGAACTGACCAAGTACATTGTTAATTTCACCATGTACATATCCCACTAGGCACTAATTGATAGCATACTATTATTGTTTCGAGTTACTATTACTATTTTGCACAGATCCGTGTCGGGTGTCAGGTTGCATAAACAATAAACATATGGTTACATAGAAAAATACACGATTTTCAGATTTAATATGGAATTATATTAACTTGGCGGCGCTCGGCCTGTCACTCCGCCATATCTGCATGCATAATAAACAGTAAAAACTGGGGTCCCCAGGTTGTATAAAATATGATAAAAAACGCCATCAAGGATCGGGAAATTGAGCGGCCATCCACAAAAAAAAGCGGCCGCATTTCTTGTTAAGTTGTTAAGCTTTGCCAGCAAAGATCCCCTGCTTCACTGACCTACCTGAGGGAGGTACTTCATAGTCTCGTAGTCTCTTTTTCAACTGAAGAACATGGATTACTTCATCATCAATTAATCGTCTCTAATCGGGTGGTGTGATATGATTTATGTGTGAGTCAGAATAGAAGGTTTTGCAATAATCGGTCACCGGGCCTACCTGTCAATATAGTCGGAAAACCAAGACTAAATTTCGAATGTCCTGGATAGTTATATTTATATTTCGTCACAAAAAGGAAAAAATAAATTAGCTAGGTTTGCTCCATGCTGGCCAGATAAAACTAGTTTATAAAATATAGTATAGTTAAAATGATTATAGTTTGAATTGATAAATCTCACTTTTCTCACGTGGAACCCCCCTCCCACCTGCTTGAAATAGTCATCGTTTTCAGAATTAAACAGAGATGTAAATTTATACTTAACTGATCATCACTGTTTGTCAGGCAACCCAAACGACCCATGTCTGCACGTCCAGCTTCAAGTAAAGTCATAAGGAAACCTCATCAAATCGATCAAGAAGCCATTCAACGACGAGAAATGGCAGATGTGGCTTTTGAACATTGGAAGAAGCAAAAAGACAAAGAGCTCGTCAGAAAGTTAGTGTTTTGAAAACGAAATTATGAAAAACAATGAATTTAATGAAATGAATTTAATGAAATCTCATATTATATGATATGTTTGGCTATGAAAAATTCATTATCAGAAGTCGGAAGTACTTGTTCCATGTTAGCTTATCAGCAGATTTCCCACGCATCTCGGTCCACTTAAAAAGTGTGCCACAGTGGAAGTTACAAATGATGTTGTGTTACGCATGTAACTTTAAACACTTGGCCCCCACATCGCATGCTCTTTTGTTACGTAACAGCTTGATGCGCACTGCAAATTACAGGCCTCCGCCTAGCGACACTTTTATAATCGAACTTGTTAAATCGAAGTTTTTGTCAAGTTGCTTTTCGTTTATGCTGCAATTTAACGAGTGATCGTTGCGACCACATTTCTGTTGAGAGTGACTAATTTGTTTTTTCTGGAAGAGTTTCCGATATGCCTGAACCGTCCGTCTCTTCCAAAATTTCAACCCATTCATCTAATGAATCGTACGTCTTTTTAAAGATTGCTCTGAAACAAAAGTAATACCGTATATCCTGGATCATTGTAAAGTAGATAGAATTTGCACGTACTTATACTAAGTAGTCCTTTATTTTCCAGGAAACGCGAAACTCGCAAGAAAGAAGAATACGAGAAGAATGGTTCAAACAATCACAAGCAGATTGTCGAAAAACCAGGTTCGCCTTTTTGTTGATCGAAGGATGGGTTTAACCTCTCGAATTCCTACCATATTATAATAATCCTATAGAAGAAGTATGATCGAAGAGATTGGAAGGTTACCGATGGTATAATCATATCCTAGCGGCTGCAATATTCATGTGAAATCTGGTGTATTAGCCTTTTCGTTAGATCCTTGAAACAAATTATACCTTTATACAGAGTCAAGAGTGTACCACATAAAATGAGGTTCTTTCGAAAAATAATAAACCATTTTTATGAAAAATCAGTTGCTAAAATCTCTTCATCACATAGTGTCAATTGGTATGGAATTTGTGCATACCAAGTTTCAAATTCCTATCACTTCTTGATTTTTCACAAATTGCTGTTCTGTTATGGTGCTACCTTAGGAACTTAAGCTTACATTTCACGCTCACATCACCATTTCTAACTTCATTCCCACTTTCCAGGACCGTTTGATGCGTGGTTAGAGAACAAGACACGACAACGCGCACAGCAGAAAGAAGTGGACAAGTTGCGAGCTCAGATAATAACTTCAGAGCTTCTGTCTGTAGATTACTCTGAGAGTGAGCTCGCTTATGAGAGGTTCGTCCCCCCCCCCCTTTCCCCCCCCCCCCTTCCCCCCCCCCCCTTCCCCCCCCTCCCCCCCCCCCTTTCCCACCCCCCCTTCCCCCCCCCCCCTTTCCCCCTCCCCCCCCCCCCCCTTTCCCCTTCATCATTTGGCAGATATTGTGCGCTCTGATTTTAAGTCAGGGTCGGAATTATTTTTCTGTGTGACCCTGTACAGCTATATTATACACTGTACATTGTACATTGTACACTGTACACTGTACATTATACATTGTACACTGTACATTGTACATGTTGTACACTGTACATTGTACATTGTACAGCTACATTATTAAGCACAATTTCAGGTGGTTAAAACAGAAGAATCAAAGTAAGCGAGCTGAGAGCCGGGAGAAAGTAAAGAAGAGGCAGGAAGATAGGGAGGAGATGAAAACCGTCCTTAACAATATTAAAACAAGGTTTGAAGAAGTTTAAACACTATACCTCACGCCGCATACAATTAGTGTGAAATAGGAAGGGGATACAGGCTCATATACTAGGGATTATTTATCATTTATTCCGGATATTTTAGATTTTCACTATCGCCCCTATTACAGTTATTTGATTGTAATTTAAGTTAATTAATTATCATTTATTTAGGTGGAGGATAGACTACAACAAGAGCAGATACTTGCACCCCAACAATATACGGGGTTGGGATGATACCCCTGTTTACTCTAATGGACCTCCAGTGTTGCCATGGTAACTCATCTTATCTTCTCCGAAAATGTGTGATACATACAGAATGTGATACATATTACTAGTTACCATGACTGCAAAGTAGAAATATGTGTTTATTAAGGTTATAATATATTTGTGACGAAATCAATGCGATTGTAATTTATATATTAAGATAGGAAAGTTAGATTTGATGCTTGGTGAGCTTGGAAGGACTGCAGATTATTTTGAATAAATTGTTTTTTAAATGTAATTAGAATGTACATATTATTATGATTCGTGTGTGATTTGATAACGATAATGGCCGGCTGTGATTACCAGATGACATTAATTAATTAGTTCAGAGTATTGCTGTAGTATTACAGTATAACAGAATATCACATATTATTGTAATTTATTTCATGATAATATCCTGTTTGTAATTTCGTATGCTCAAACTAAACTTATCATGAATGATATCAAAATAACTGGTTTGATGATAATATAGAGATGGAATTTATTATGCTATGTGTTGCTTAACATGAAGAAGAGTTTGGTGGGGAGAATTAGTTAATTGGCAATTAGCTAATTTGATAATTGGGGTAATTAAATTAATTTAAGGTGCGGCAGCTGACTCGAAACGCGGCAAAAGTTTTAGGCTCCTTTCAGAATAATAAACGTCCAATTTGTCCGCATTTGTATACACTTCTGCTAAACTTTTTAGAGAACATCTGTTGGATGGTGAGGAGGTGTTCTAGCGAAATTGTAAGAATGTTGCGCAAGTGTCGCTCAAGATTTATTCTCAGAATTGTAAATTTTGTCGCCAAGATCGGATCCAAAATAGCGAAAAAGTTAGGTGCATGCGGAAATTATCACCGATAAATTATACTGTTCGGAAAAAACTGCCCGTAAAAGGCCTTGTCCGGAGAAGGCATAGTTCAAACAGAGACATGTCGAATGGTAAACGGAGTTATCGGGAAATGTTTGTTTCGTTAAATTAATAAATTGTTCCTGCAAACCAGATAACAGCTGAAATAAAATGATTACACATATTGATTGAAAATGTACCTTTAATGAACAGGTAACGAACAGTATATTATTAAAGTGCTCTGCTGATTACTGTAGTAAAGTTATACATAATTGCCAAAACAGTGAAAAGGTGAAATCAATCTCCTCCGACGTAATCTGAACTCGCCAGGATTACGTTCGGGAATTGAGCTCAACCATTCCACCACGTAAGCATTAACCTTTCTGCAATATTTAGATCTAATTACCTTGTAAACCTTGTACCCGTGATAAGCTGTTTCCTCTTGAAATATGGCGAGAATTTCTGAAGTTTATAATGGGAGCAATGTGATGAGAATACAGTGTTAATGTGCCTTTAGTATTAATGAGTTATTTCTACAGTAATTTAAGAGGCTATTTTTTCAAACTTTCAATAAAGAAATTGGCTCAGAACCTCATTCCTAAATTGTACACTTTCAGTTAGTTACTACGGTGTACCATGAAACCAGATTAGGTACTGCATAGGCTGTATTGGTGTTCGTTACCTGTTTAGTTAAACTTCAAATCAATACGTGTAATCATTCAATTTCAGCTATTATCTAGTTTGCAGTAACCATAATTTACCAAACCAAATATATGACATGTATCTGTGTAATACACCGCGCAACCTCTCAGTTTTCACTCGTAGGTGGGAACACCACTGTTATAAGGAAAGCATTCTCCGGTGGAAAACATCTTCTGGTGGACGGTCTACAGAAAGATATATTCGGAGGCCGCGCAAAGTAAAATGTTGAGTTTTAGGCGCTCTATGGGTAATTAATTTGAATAATTGAATCAGACAGAAGCAAATAATCTTGGATTGACTGAAGCAAGAATTAAATTTGCATTAACCAGTGTGAAATCTAACTGTAACTGACTGCCAGGATACGTTGGAATGCAGTTCACATTCAACGATGTCATAACCGATCTGCATAGTGGAGATCTAATAGCCTTGAACTTAGCCGGATAAGGCTTGAGAAAATGGCAAATAATACTATTTATATGGGCAATGTGATGGATACAGTGTAAGTGCCACTTCTCACGCAGGTTATGAGTAATTCCTAAGAATTAAGGCTATTGTGCAAACGTTCCATAGAATTTGCTCAGTAAATAAATGAGGTTACATTTCTTATTACACGGTGTCCTTACGTGTACTGTATAGCGCGTAGTATTGGTGGTACCTGTTGGTACAACTCACCCTCCACGTGAATCGATTCAACAGTTTACTATTTGCAGTACTAATCACAGAACATTATATTGAATGTATTGTGAATAAACCCCATATTAAATTAAACTTAAATTTGAAACCAGTGCGCGTAGAATAGGTGAACACAGAACAAGATCATTTTATGCCATTGGAGCATTGGCTTCCCTCCCCCCCCCCCCCCCCCCCCCCCCCCGGATGTACCTTGAAAAGGAGTGACGTGGGACGATCATAAGATTACATTTCAACTACCCTTCATATCGCCTTACAGGTATGCCTTTGGTAATTGGTTATAGGACTGTGTGTTCTTTCTTTGTTCTGTTGGATCGCAGTTAGTTAATTGTTAAACATTAAAGAACGTTTGTACCTATACAAACGTTTGTACCTGTACAAAGCTATAGAGACTGTAGAGTGTAGAATATCATTGTTACAGTTCCAACATCAAACATGTGTGTTGCTTCCGTCTTACTTCATCGAATACGTTTCTCTTCTGTTTCACAGTATACAGTTGTAAGTAGTATGTTTTATCATTAAGATATGTTTCGCGTGGCCAGCTTTATGTCCATGGAAGTTTAAATGGCAAGAAAATCTGACGTTAATTGTTACAGTTTCTTCAGTAGCTGTTTTTATCCTGGCGTCATCTACCTCTATAATAACTAAGAAATCTTGGTCGCTTTGTTTGTGCCGGTGACGCTTTTGATATTCTCTGGCCATTATATTAATGACGATTACTTGTATATTGTGCTTACAACTTCACAAGACATTGATGTGTCCTACATTATGTACTTGTGTCACAAATGGTGAACTCACTAACTAGTCACTGGACAAAAATTCAGTCAAAACAGTTAAAATTAAGGATCCAGGAAGCTTTCATTTAAAAATTTACTATACACATAAAACATTTTGGTTATTTTCCGATTTCAAAGCTTTCTTCGGAAATCTTACTTCCAGTACCTCAATTAGTGTCATGTGATATCCACAGTGCAGTGAACTTGCACGTACTAATTCGGTCATTCGAGCGAATACCATGGCCTATCGGGCGCCTATTGGGCGCATATCGGGCGCCTATCAGACGCCTGTCGAGTGTCGGGCGCCTTGCCATGGCCAATACTACGGCACATTTTGTTTGACCGTTTTTAGTTATTTTATCGGTCAATTACAACTTGAAGGTACGTGACACGATCAATTTTTGGACTGATTTTACATGTATTATAGTGTTGTCCCCAAACACGTCAGAATCCTCCACTTTCCCCAACTCCACCTACCATCTTTGAATCCGAATTCTGACAGAACTCTATCCAGAGGAGCAGGTCCTGCCCTGTCTCAGCCGCGAAGGACGCCTAATCCTCCTACTTCTCAACGGTCAAGAAGTCCTCTCCACCGACCTCCTGCCAGCACTCCTCGACGCTCAAGAAGCCCTCTCCGCCGACCACTTCTAGCCAGCCCACCTCGCCGGGGTCACGCCCCCTACAGCCGGACGTCCCCTCCGGATTCCTGCCTCGCACTCTACGGACAAATGAGGGAAGCTGTACTGGACAGAAGACATCCTAGAACGGTGAAGGAAGTCTACACCTTTCTAAAAGTTGCTAACAGAACATGGAGGCGAAAGCAGAAGATATGGAGAGCTGATGATACTGGACCGTTCAAGATTTGACGAGGTGGTGGCTGGGCTGATGGGAGACGATCAAGCCGTGCGACTGAATCAGGAATCCCTATTCGAGCGATGTAAAGCGGAACTGAAGAAGCCTGCATTAGTTCGCAAGAAAAGGGACGCCATCCTTTCTGGAGATATTATTTAATTAGAATACATGATTTTATAGTACAATTTATAATATATTTTATGTTGTGGGACAATCGATTTTATAGTACTACAATTTATGATACATTTATGTTGTGTGACAATCGATACATTCTTATTTATAATATACAAGTAAAATGAGTCCAAAAATTGATCGTGTCACGTACCTTCAAGTTGTAATTGACCAATAAAATAACTAAAAACGGTCAAACAAATGTGCCGTAGTATTGACCATGGCAAGGCGACCGATAGGCGCCCGACAGGCGTCTGATAGGCGCCCGATATGCGCCCAATAGGCGCCCAATAGGCGCCCGATAGGCCATGGTATTCGCTCGAATGACCCTATCTCCTTTCTCAAACGCCGCTCTAGTGACAAAAAATCATACAAATTTGAGAAAATACTTGTAAATTATAATTTGAATATCACTAAATTACTAAATAATCGTCAACCTAAAACAGTTGGAATATTTATAAACTAAAGCAAGAATGAATTCAACCAAAACAGCAGGATTCTATCTGCAACTGCAAGACTCGACCACCATGTCTTCGTATACAGTAAGATGGAAGTCCCGTCCAACAGCTATGAGTACAGTAAGAGGTTTAGTTTGGTCTGATACACAGGAAGCTCCCTGTACCTCTCCTCCGACTCCGCTATAGTAGAGAATGTTCTGGATGAAGGCGTGGTTTGTCATTGGGGTCTCCTCGTGGTCAAGGTGGCACTCTCCTGAGCAGATGTGAGCATTGAACTCCATCGGAGCTACCACTGAGTTGAGGCCGATCTTATTGAAGTTAACCATCAGGTCCTGAACTTTACAGTGGGGAGATGCAGATCTTCGTTCCAAGTGGTGGGTCTCACCAAACATCTGTAGGAAGTGTCTTCTAGCGATCTTAGCTGAGGGTTGAAGGATCTCCTGGTTCTTGTAAAGGAGGGTGAGATGAGGTTTCTCTTTTAGGTTTATTACTTTGTTAATTGGTAGGGTTGAAGTTACTTCTATCCCGTGGGAACTCAGGAGAGTCCGCTCAGCTCTGATCACAATATTGAGAGTTTGTAGCGAGGAAACTAGCTTGTTTTTAATGTTCAGAGGCAGAGCTGTTGGTTTTAATGATCGTGAGGATACATTGAACTTCTGCTCTGTTCCCAAAACCGTAATTACAAGAGTAGACATTTCTGTTGTGGGTTTGAGGTAAACTATCAGTTCTACGTCTTTAAGAGTCCCATGCTGCTGACTGTCTTCGGGAAGGGTGTAGGACAGACTAATCTTGTGTTTGGAAATCTTCGTGGAAGTAGCTTTGGTGCTGACTATTCTGTTGGATTCTGAGTTAGGGTTGTTGAGTAGGTCTTGAAGGTGTTTAGGAACTTTGGGATTGGTTGGAGTTGTTTTG